AATCAACATGAATTTAAATGGTTCACATTTTTAAGATTAAATAAAATATTATAATTGATGATAATCTGGAGAAAGAAAGAAAAGTAAAAAAAAATTATAAACAAAACGTAGAGTGTTAATTTTTTTTTTAATTTTACTTATGCGGATATATATATATATATATTGAAAATGTGTATATATATCTTTAAAATCAGGAAATAGCGAGATTGGCGTCAATCATACAAAGTAGCGAATTCATTCAGGAGTAAAGTGTCTATCTTAAAATTTGAATTTTATTCTATTAATTCTTTATTTTATTAATGGTTTCATCGTAAAATTTTATGTGTCTATCTAAAATTTTAAATTTTCTTCGATTAATCACCTATTTTATTGATTGTGTCCACCTAAAATTTTATTTATATATACCTCATTCAAAATATTTATATTATTAACATATATGTATACACCCTAAAATATATTTATTGATCGTCACTGGTCCTACAATTGATAGCTACTGATGGATCGACATATGTGCAAATGTGATTGTCAAATAATAAATTTAACTGATAATATAATCTACAAGAATCATATAAAAAAATTGCAACCAAGTGAAGAGAATAACAGAAGTATAATTTACGGATAACCGACAACAAATATCCTTGTTGATTTTTTAGTATCCTAAGTTGTTCAAATTTCGACTAATCCTTATTAGGAAGGTGAAGACTCGAATTTAAAATTTTCGATCAGAATCTAACTCTAACGGGTCATGTTTTCCCCCATAAAATAGGATTTGGGACAGATTGGGCTAATCATTTTAGAGGATAAGTTTAGATTGGGTAATGTTTGGGTTCATGGTGAAAAATATTCGATTCGACCTAAAAATGTTATTATACATTATATATTTAAAGATAATTACAATAATATAAATATTTATATTATTTTTTCAATTAAATCTTTATTTTATCGAATAAAATTAAGAATTATATACAAATATGTATTGAATCATATATGAATTTTGTCTCAAAAAATAAATTAAGTTTCAAGTCGAGTCGAATTTCATGTGAAAATTACTTATTAAATTAGGGTTCATTCACCCGAAACCCAACCCAAATCCACCCATACGGATCCCTATTCCTTACATAAACTACTATTTGTACCCAAGTTATTTTATAGAATAAATTACCCTAATCATTCAGTAGATTCTATCACTATTGTTTTCCAAATCACAACAAACCTCTATTCATAAACTACTATTTGTACCCAAGTTATTTTATAGAATAAATTACCCTAATCATTCAATAGATTCTATCACTATTGTTTTCCAAATCACAACAAACCTCTATTCATGTACATTATGAAATCACTCCATTTTGCACCTGCAAAAAGCCATAGTAGTAAGTGAAAAGGAAAGTGGCAACTTGGCTAGCTTAAAAGTCCCACAAATGCGTTCTGCAAACGCCATATGCTTACAAGCTACGTTTATTTAATATCTAAAAATTTATAATAAACACAATTATATTTGGTATGCTGGGTGAGTATTCGATCATGACAAGTTAAAAAAAATTCAAGTTATTCAATGACGAGTCTTATTTTATAACTTAAATTTGATTTGAATTGTTTTAGTTGAATCAAGTTTATAAAATTCGAGTCGAGTTTTCAAGTTTCTGTTTAAATTTAATTATAATTATTTATAATATTATGATATTATTTGATTCCGATTTATATGATTTTTTATAATCATGCCATATATATTTCTTTATATTTTTCATATACAATATACATATATCATACAGAGTCGAGCGACTCGACTCAAACTTGAAAATCAATCTACTAATTACTAAAAGTTTTGAGTTATTCGAGTTACTCGAGTTGTATTCTATAACTCGACTTAAACTTGAAATTTTTTCGAGTCAAAATCAAGTTTATGAAATTACATATTTAATCACACAATTATCGTTTTAATTCTATTTCGATCACCCCAACTATTTATTTTAAATCATCATTAATTTTACATTTTAGTTTTAAGTCTTTAAAACATATAGCACTAACTGTCGTCCTAAATTAATTGGTATAATTATATATAAGCGTTTGCTTTGAAGCGTGAAGTGCACTTTCTTAAGCTTAAAATGTATATCGAGGTACACATGTTCTAGCTTAATTTAAGCTTTAACAGAATTAATGAGCATATGATTAAGATTGTAGAATGTTTTAAATAGGGATTAACCATGTCCTTTTTTTCACTTTGCTTATTTATGTCTTTTTATTGTGATATTTTTTTTTCTTTTTGTCTTCTTTAACTCCTTTAATTCTTTTTTATTTTGCATATTTAAGTTTTTATGTTATTTTGTTTATTAAATTTTTATTTTTTCTAATAAAATCAGTAGGTATTTTTTTTATTTACTCTTGTAGTACAATTTTCTTCTTCTTCCAATGTTAGTTTTAATATTATCTTCTAATTAACGTTTATTTGACATGTTTATATGTGACAAAATGATGATATGATAAAAAATTAATATAGCATGTTTATGCGTGATAAAATGATGATATGATAAAAATTAATGTCACATGTTTATATGTGACGAAGTGATGATATGATAAAATACTATGTCAACATTTTTTTATCATATATATGGTTAATTTGGTTAAATTAATTTCAAATAATCAAACTAATACATATGGCATTATCTAATTAGTTTAAAATTAAAAATGTGGAATATGACATTAGGGGACTTAAGCACGAATTTGAAACATTTAAACTTAAATGCTTAATCACTAAACCAAACAACAAACATAATTCTTTATTGATGGTATATATCATTTACCTTAAAATTGAGTATCATTAATAAAAAATAAAAAAAAGTAGGGAAAACCCATATCGGATAGAGTAATTATAACTAATAATTATATAAAATATCAATAAATACATTTAGTAAGATGATACACTTAATTTTTTTAATTAAATTGAGAGATTCCAATCATAACAATGTAAATGGAACAAATTGGACTGCGATGATCGCCTTAACCCTTGAATCCAATTTTATTGACCGTCATGTGTATATATGTATACTATCATTAGTCTACTTATTATTAACATTTTTGAGTTTTTATTCATTTTTAAAATAATCTGAGATGACTATAAGGTAGTAAATGTTTATTTTATTATTAATTTATTGACAATATACACACCCTGTATACGTAGTTATTCGAACTCAAAATCTTTATGAATAACTATATTCTCTTTTATCACTTATACCAGTTAATGCATTCAATTTTTGAAAATCCCAAATATTTAGAGAATAATCCCAAATATAAGTTTAACAATATATTATTGAAAAATCATATTAATTTTTGAGTGAGGTCAAAATAAAAATTTAGAGAAGTAAATATGAATAAAATGATGAATATAGTATAATTTTTAAGTTATCAATTTAAAATTAAAATTAAAAATCTATTTTATTTAATTATAAAAAAATTAACTGAAAAAACTTGACTAAGAGTTAGTTTACCTACTTTCACACCTAGGAGTAGGGGTGAACAAAACTCGACTCAACTTAAAAAATTATTTTTTTCTCGACTCGAATTGAGTTCGAATTGTAATTTCATAAACACTACTCGACTCGAAAAAAAATTCAAATTCAAATCAAGTTGTAAAATACAACTTGAATAATTCGAATAACTCGAATTGTTTAGTAATTAGTAGATTGATTTTCAAGTGTAAGTCGAAGTTTGAGTTGAGTCCCTTGACTTTATATGTTATATGTAAATTACATATGAATATATGTATATATATTGTATATGATTATAAAATATCATTTAAATTTAAATTAAATAATTTGATAATATTATAAATATTTATAATTAAATTTAAATAGAAACTCAAAAATTTGACTCGACTCGAATTTTATAAAATTGACTCGACTCGAAAAAATTTCAAATCAAATCCGAGTTATAAAATAGGGTTCATCAACTTGAATAACTCAAAATATTTTGACTCGATTCGACACTCACCCCTAACTAGAGGATCTAAAAAACAATTGTACCAAGAAAATGAGAAGAAATCTAAATCATCCAATTTTAAAATTAAAAGAACTTAAAATTAATTAAATTTTAAAAATTAGAATAAATTAAGATTTAATTTAATTTTAAAATTAAAAAACATAAACCAATAACTTTAATTTTTTTTTAAAAAACAACAACGCAATTCCATAATAGGAGTAGATAGGAGTATTCACTCTTCGGTTAAAATTAAATTAATTGACCGAACCAAAATTTCGGTCAGTTAATTTTGAGTTCAGACTATTAACGGTTAATGATTTTTTTTTTTCAAATTTCGATTTTGATTAGTTTAGTTTGAAATCGGTTAATTAACCGAATTAACTGAAATTATTAAATATTTAATATATTATATATATTATTTAGCTTTAGGAGTGTTTGAACTCGGTTTTAATCGAATTAACCGATCAAATTAACCAAATAAACAAAAAATTATTAAATATTTAATATATAATAAATATTATTTATATATTATTTATAAATTTTGATTAATTCGGTTAACCGATCAATTAACCGAACTTAGTTTAGTTCTGTTAACTTTTTTAGAAAAAAATTGGTTCAGTTAACGGTTAATAAAAAAATTTTGATTAATAAAATTTAGGTAATTCGATTTGATCGATTAACTGAATTATTCGTTTGAACACCCTAAAATTAGATAACTTATTTAACAATTAAATAATATCCAAAAACAAAACAACAAGCTTGCAGTAAAAAGCAAAGAAAAGCGTGTCGTCAGAGAAAAAAAAGAGCACCTTTAATTAACTTATAAAAAAAAGAAAAAAAAATAGCAACTTCAGGCTTCACAATCAATACTTTTTAAATCAAATTTAAGAAAATAAAAGAGTAAATCATTCAGTAGCAGAATATATGATGGGTATTTTGGTAAAGAAAAAACAAAAAATACAGACAAAATTGAAGGGGAAAAAATATAACTTTTGCCTAACCGTAAAGTTAGCATCATGTAATAGATTTTCATCAACCTCTTAATATTGCAATTAGCACTCATTTATCATCCTCTCTCTCTCTCTCTCTCTCTCTCTCTATGTAAAGACATTAAGAAACACAAAGAGAGACATAAACATCATGTTATGTTTCAGATCAAACCCTTATGCATTGTTCCTTATTTTCTTCTTCTCTTCGTTTCTTTTCGGACATGAAACAGTTTCTAATGCCTCAAATGTCCAGACTTTGCATCTTCCAGGTACTGATCTTTTTTTCTTTTCTAAATAGAAAGTTTTGGTTTTTATTTCTGGGATTTTGTTGGTTTAACTGTTTATATTTTCTCTTGGATTTCAGGATATTATACAAGTTTTGTGGTTGGGGAGAGAGAGCACAGTGAAGTGTTTCAATGGAGGAAGATAGGCCTAGAAAGGAGGAACCTTGCAGAGGACAACTCGTCTTTGATTTTGGCACAAAAGAGGACTTATAGGAGAGACCCTCTTAATGATTTTCTAAAGTACACCGGCGGTTGGAACATCAGCAATCAACACTATTGGGCTGTAATTTTCTTCACTTCTCAACATTTTAGCTGATGTTCTTGTCTTGTATTTGGTTTTGATTGCTTTTTTTGATGCTTTGAATCTAGTCCTGTTAGGGGTTTTCTTGTTTTTGATGATCTGATATCAGTTGAAAATAATTGTCATTTGAATCGAACAAACTTTGAGTACAGTTCCTGTTTCTGTTAATGCAGTCTGTTGGTTTCACGGCGGCTCCTTTCTTTGTCGTTGCCGGTGTCTGGTTTGTGATTTTCGCATTAATTTTGTTCGTCATATGTATCCGTCATTGCTGTTGTCAACTGAATTCGTATGGCTACTCTCGGACGGCGTATGCTTTGTCCCTTATTTTCCTCATACTCTTCACCATTGCTGCAATGTAACTCAATCCCTTTCTCTCGTTTGAAGATATGTATGTTCTAAATGAATGTATAATTACTAACTTGAATGCTTGACATCGTGTTGCAGTGTCGGGTGTGTTGTGTTGTATACCGGTCAGGGAAAGTTCCATGGCAGTACAACGGATACACTGGATTATGTTGTTAGTAAGGCAGACCTTACTGCTGAGAACCTCAGGAATGTGTCAGATTATCTTTCTGCAGCTAAGAAAATTAGCGTGGATGCGACTATTTTGCCGGCAGATGTCCAAAGAAGCATCGATGACATTGAAAAGAAGATAAACTCTTCGGCTTCAACTCTTTCCCGTCAAACAGCCGATAATAAAGAAAAGATCCAGCATGGCTTAGACAGTGTGTAAGTTGAAGATTTTAGGATGAAATTCAAATAACCTTGTAACTGATCATCGAATTTATCTCATGGTAAATACTGCAGGAGATTGGCTCTTATCGTTCTTGCTGCTGTGATGCTCTTTTTGGCATTTCTTGGATTCCGTAAGTCATATTGAGATTCTAAGTGATTTGATTATCTCGATACCATCTAAACTTAATGCTATTGTTTTGATAACTGGCTGCAGTATTTTCCATTCTTGGATTGCAGTGCCTGGTTTACACGTAAGTGAAGTATCATTAATGTATTTTAGATCAATTTCCCTATGTTACTAACTCGAACTTCCTTTAGCGATCACTTCTACAATTAATGAATGCAGGCTAGTGATCGTCGGGTGGATCCTTGTTACCGGTACATTTATTTTTTGTGGAGTATTTCACCTCCTCCACAAGTATGTTCTGCTCGATTTCCCTTGTTTCCTGTATCGAACTCATATAGTTTTTTCTTTGCATTTGAAAGATTTTTGGCTGAACTTGCTTCCGTGCTACTTTCTTCGATATGATATGAGCTCTAAATTAAAAATTGTTTTCCCTGATGCAGTGTTGCCGGTGATGCGTGTGTTGCAATGGATCAATGGGTCCAGAATCCCACTGCTCATACAGCGTTGGATGATATTCTGCCATGCGTCGACAATGCAACAGCCCAAGAGACCTTGTTACGAACCAAGAACGTCACTCATCAACTTGTGAACGTCGTGAATGGCGTCATCACCAATGTATTCAACCGAAATTTCCCGCCGCAAATGGCACCTTTATATTACAATCAGTCTGGTCCATTGTTGCCGGCTCTCTGCAATCCGTTTTATTCTAATCTAACAAATCGAGAGTGTGCGGTTGGTGAAGTGAGTTTGCACAATTCTTCAGAGGTAATAACGATTTCTTTTCTATACGTAAAATCCGCATCAAGTGTGTCAACCGTGCTGCTCTCTCGTAAATCGTGTGGCTCTTCTTCGAATCCGTTCTTATTTTGTTCAACTGTATCCGTGTTAAACAGGTTTGGAAGAACTATGTATGCCTGGTTTCATCCTCTGGTATTTGTTCTACACCCGGGCGATTGACCCCTCAATTTTACACTCAGATGTCGGCAGCAGTGAACGTCAGTTACGGTCTGTATCGTTACGGTCCATTCCTTGTTAACTTGCAAGACTGCACTTTCGTGCGTGATGCATTCACGGATATCAGTCATGAACATTGTCCCAGTCTGCGTCGATATAGTCAATGGATCTACATCGGATTAGTAATCGTCTCGGCCGCCGTCATGTTGTCGTTGATCTTCTGGGTCACCTACGCAAGAGAGAGAAGGCACCGTGTTTACACCAAACAGTACGATGCTAGATACGAAGGCCAATACAATGGTCGATAGGACTCCGACCCTAACGATTACGGTCTTAATTTTCTCGTGTATTTCGAGTAACATGCATTACAAAAATTTGTACATTATGTTTGTTGTCGGAGAAGCCTAATTAGGGTTTGAAAGCCTGTTCTTGAAGGGGATGACTTCATATTCTCGAAGCATTATACATCTCTCTACTTTATGGTGTGCCCTTGGCTGTTTCATCTATTACCGTTCTAATTTTATAAGTAAGCGGGTATATTTGGATATTTTTCATTATAATCCTAGGGGAGAATATATATGTTTTTTACTAAGGTGATTGTAAAGGTTTTATATGTTATAAATATTCTTAACTATTTGATAACGTTTAAACATGTGACTTTTATGAAAAACAATTTTCTTAATTTTTAAGATAAATTAGTTCGTGCTAGGGGTGAATATCACCTAAACCTAAGCCACCGGTTCTTTTGGATTTGTATTTTTTTTCCTTAAAAAACAATCATACATTTTTTATGCTATATATCTCTGACCATGCAAATTTGATTGGCCCTTTGTTATGCATGCGACGTAGTTGACCTAAGTATTAAATATAAGGGTAAAGTACACAAACGATCTTTCGACTATAGGGTGTTGCTTTGTTGAGTCCTTCAACTAGTAGCAGATTTTCCAACATCTGAGTAGGAGTCATTTTCCAAGCCACACGGATGGCCCGACAATGGTAGAGGCGGACGGAGAGGCAATTTTTAGCAGCAGAGCGACATCACACGTATAAAAACAAACAAAGACAATGATTAGAGGATTGGAGATTTTATTTTTGTAACACCCAAATCCAGTTAGAGAAGATCCATGGATTACAATGTTACACGGGACTACCGAAATAGTGACCCAAAATTTTCTTTTAAAATTGTTTGTAAATCTCTGAAATTTAGACATTCATAATGTAATATAAAAACATAATGATAAATAGGGTTTACAAATAATAGGAAGCTCCCAAAATACATCCGCAAAATAATACAAAATACTGAGTTTCAAAAGAATAGTGGAATGAATATGTTGGAACTTTCCAGATATGACCTACCCTAAAGAAGCAACGGAACAAATCCCCTTTTTTCAGATTTGATCTTCCTTGAAGAAGTAGTGGAACAAGTCTGCCTCAATTCAATCTTCCCTGAAGAACAGTGAAATAAATCAATGTTTCCATATCTAATCTACCCTGAAGAAGCAGTGGAGCAGATCCCCTTTTTTCAGATTTGATCTTCCCTGAAGAAGTAGTGCAACAAGTCTACCTCGATTCAATCTATAACACCCCCAACCTGTACCCGACCCGGATACGAGTCCGAGGAGTCACATTGACTTTTCAAACTTTGACTCTTAAAGAAAATCAAGGAAATTTTGAACTTTCATTAAAATAAAAGTTGTTAACTTACAAAAGTTTGATCAGAACAATACAAAATCGATCAGAGCATTCGTAATTAACAAATTGGTTACATGCCAACACACTAAATACAACAAAACACATACTTTGCCAATTACTTTTGATCTGATCTTCTAGTAGTGATGTTGTCCTTGCCACTCCTAATTCTGATCTTCTTGTTTTTCGGTACCTACGTGTAAATCACTTACACGCTAAGTCACACACTTAGTGAGGCATAAACTGAACATATAACAATAATTCATGACCATACATTACTATCAATCCATCATGACATTGCAATGTACATTTATCCACTAAAATGACATATATAATTATGATATGCACAAATGAACTATAACCTCTTATAAGAGTTTTCATTCCATTTATCTTTGGATGCCCATGTACATTATTGAGAACAGGAGGTACGTGAGTACACTGAGGTTGTGCACGAATGCTGTCACCACAACTCAATAAATTCCCACTAGGGGCACTGAATATTTATCCCGAAGGACCACTATGTCCTGAAAGACCATTATGTCCCGAGAGACCACTATGTCCCGAGAGACCACTGATAATCCCTCGACTCTTGGCATGCCAATTATACCTACAACTCTCATATCATATAACATGGACTTAATTATGAATACATTTCCCCTTTTCATATCTCTTGTACCACTTCTCATATAACATACCATTCACTTCACATGAACACATATAATCACTTTGCTTATTACTCATACATGTATTTGTTCTCTTGTAATGGCATACATTTATAATATATTATATTAAAGCATTTAAAAGGTATGAAAATACTTATTATAATCATACATATGCAGGTATATGAAAAGGAAACCATAACATCAAATATAGTTAATAGACTTATCACAAGTCTTATTTCCATTGAACTGTATCTATAGAATGCACTCACCTTGGCCTTGCTTAACTTGAATCGATTTTAGATCTTTATCTCTCTCTCAACCGTTTCTTATTCTTCGATTGATCCGGAACGGGATTACGTTCTATCTCTTTGTTTTGGGGTCTTCACGCACAAAGAAGAAAGGAGAAGAAGAGAACTCTGGAATGTTGATCTTTCCTCTTTTCCATCCACGTGGATTATATATAACCATAACAAATTTAATTATTCCTTGCCAATTACCATTTTGTTCTTCAATTCCTCTTTCTTTATAATTTGATTTTTGTATGTATTTTTCATAGGATTTTGAAATAAATAACATCCGAATCAATAATGAGCTTTAGAATGGAATTGTAATATTTCTTTATTTCGATTGGAGTAAGAATCAACTGTTTTAAGGCATGTGAGGTTGATTCTTCTCGATAGGAAATAATTAAATATTATTATGTTTTGTTCTAAAATTCAAAGAATATTATTTGTATGAGATCTTAAATTAAATTAAAATCGAATTCGTAAATTTCATTGCAAAGACAACTAATTAATTGACTAGGTACCGATTTAGGGCTCTGTGGGGGTGCTAATCATTCCCCACGAATAACCGACTCCCGAACTCAAATTTTAGGTAACGAATATCACAAATTTGTTGTTTTAATTAAAATTAATATTTTTATTAAAATGAAAAATATGTTTTTGGGTGCCCAATCACACCCGAATCAAAGATTGGTGGCGACTCTTCGAATCACGTTTTGTGATTAAAAAGGTTACCCAATTATTCGATACAAGATGTTTTAAAAAATCAGATTTTAAAAATTAAATTTGTTCTTTTTAAGAAAAATCGTTTTGATATTATTAACTAATTAAGATAAGCTTCGTTTTGATATTATTAACTAATTAAGATAAGCTAAGTATTTCTACTTTAGCAAGTTTGTGCTTCACAAAATCTACATATAGCAGTTAATGTTTAGATGCATGTATGTTTACTCACACATCCATTGCTAGAAAATAAGTGTACAATTGCATTGATGAGAAGATAACTTGTATTATTGTTAATAAATGACTTTGGCAGTAGGTCTCTACTGTGTTTCTGGAAGCAGCTCTGGAAATATAATATACTTGTAAATGCAATGCATTGATGGTTCTTCTTTTATCTTGTAATTTTCCTGTAGGGTATGGCCCTTTTGTTTAAATGAACACAGAGTTATATTTCTATTTCTCGACAAGAATTTAAAACAATGTAAATGAATAGGCTTTAAAGAATTCGATTAAGTATTTTAATCATTCTAATGTTTCATTTTGAGACAAAATACTCATAGTTGGATGGAAATCATTAATTGACTAATGATAAAAAATAGCGACAATCACTACAGAAAAACAGAGCTTTAGCGGCCTTTTTTTTAGTCCTATAGCAGCGTTTTTCAGCGCCGCTAAAAGCACTTACGTCGATAGAAAAAACGCCGCAAGAAGCGTCGATCATACCAGCGCCGCTAAAGTTAGCGGCGTTTGAGAATAAAAAACTCCGCAATAGGTCAAGATCTATAGTGGCATTTTTTAACAAACACCGCAAAAGGTTGAGATCTATAGCAGCGCTTTTGAAAAAAAACGCAGCAAAAGGTCGAGATCTATAGCGGTATTTTTGGAACAAATGCCACAAAATATCAAATCTATAGCGGCATTTTTGGAACAAACGTCGCAAAAGGTCGAGATTTATAGCGGCCACAAAAGGTCAGATCTATAGCGGCGTTTTTTTATACAAACGCCGCTAATTACCTTTCTTTAGCTAAGATTAATTGATTTTACATATTTCATTTATGCTCTACATCACCTAAATTTAATATCATGTAACTTTATCTAATTAACAACAACCATACATTTTAATTAAGACACAAGTTATGCAGAAAAATATTTAATAACAAAATAAATTAAAATTTATAAACATTAAAATTAAATGTAATATAGTTGGACATTTTTCTCTAGAATTTAGTCTAGGTTCTTTCACTTTCAATTAAAAAAATATTGTTCACTAGAATTTAGTCTTCATTGCTCCTTCGTGGGAAAAGGAAGTAAAAAAACATTTTCCTTGTTTGATGAAGCATCGTTAAGTTTTTCCTCCGTGTAAACTGTATATGGAGAAGCTCTTCATCCATTTCACCAAATAAATCCCCTAGCCCCGGTTTCACCAAGAAGACTCCTTGCGCACTTCAGTGCTTCACTTGAAACAGATAACGACCTTTCACCTACAATATGAAACTTGATTGGAGGTGGTTTGGGAACTGAATCAAACATTAAACAAAAAAATTAAAGTAAAAGAGAGAAGCATTTACTTGGAGTAACAATAGAGGCAACATCGTCTTCATCGAGGATAGATAATGCTTTTGCAATTGAAGATTCTTTCAACACCATAGATTTCCCAAATTCGGTTCTAAACATCGGGTATTTATCCACTCCTCTATCATCATTCTCAATAAGTTTCGAACATCCTGCGTACGATCTATGAAATTTGAGAGTATAAAAAAATATAGCGGCGAAAAGATTCAGAGATTATTACCTTGAAGTAGGAGATCGACCATGGAAGGGTATGGAGAAAAAGGAGTTCCTTTTGGGTCATCATCGGGTTTCGACGGTAAGAACGGACTGAAAGCCTCCCAACGAAAATTTGATTATTCGTCAGAGCAAATACGCCACGTGGACATTCTGACGATAATTTCTCTTACTCTGTCCATACATATGGGTGATCAAGTTACTTAATGCATGTCTTTCTCTATGTCAAGTGTCTTTCTCTCTAGAAATAATTAAAGCATAAATAGTTTTCGGGTGCAAGGGAAATCGAAGATTTGTTCTTTATGTATAACAATCGAACATTGGTGATTTGGTGAAGCTAATTACATTCCTATAATGGCATTCCAAATTTGTCTCCCAAAGCTGAATTTTTTAAACATATTTTAACCTATGTTAAAGATTATCTCTATGGCAAAATTTGAGTACAATGAATAAAGCTTAGTTAGAAAACACCCCATCTTATTTAAGATAGACTGAAATGGAGAAAATTTGTGATGTGAAAGCAATGTAATCTATGAGTATTGGATATTAGTAGCACTATAATCCCCATAAGGAGTTATTAGCAAAGTGGCACATTATGATGCATGAAAGGAAGATTGAAGAAATTGAATAGATAGTTGTAGTGTAAAATTGCAAGTGTTTCATGATTGAAACATGGGACACAAACATGGTACTGACCATATATATATCTTATAAAGAAAAATAAAATATGTATGATGGAATTTTTGTATTAAGTGTGTATGATTACTATACACACATGCCAACAATAACCATGAATCGAATACTCGAAAGCATGAATCGAATGCTCAAAAGCAACTACGATTATAAAGTTAGCCAACTTCAATAACAAACATGGAAATAACTATACGAAAATGAAACTCAAAACAAACAAACAAAACAACATATTATTAAGCAAAACAATGAATTTAACCAAAGAAACAAGGAAAATGCAATCAATAAACGTCTAAAAATCAATTCGCCTACGAAATGCGCGCACCTTCACTTACATCTGAATGTTCCATACCTCTGAATGTTGATTCCATGTAGGTTTGTTATGCCATTGGATTTTAGAAGATACTGGAACACAATTGACTTTTCAGTGACACCTTATAGTGGCATGATTATCAACATTTTTACAACTAATTATAGCTTTGTATTTCTCATTGTTACTTTATTCTTATCACTTCGGTTAAGGAGATGTTCAAATATAGAGCCTTCTTTCTTTCAATTCCACATACACAACATTTTAAGCTTTTTTATGTCTTCCAATCCTTTTTTTTGGATTCATATTAGTAACTTTCTTGTTAGTAAGTGCTCCAAAATCTTCTTTCAGTCAGTTCTAGGACCAAGCTACTTTATTGAAATGCAAACATCATGATCATTGATCTAATGATTTTGTGGGTGATAGAGGTGATCTGGAAGTAAACTGCAGAATAGAGCTGGTGCTAATGATTTTGTTCTTGGTTTTTATACACTTTTCTCTCACACTTAATCAGGAAAATTAGACCATAGTTATTCACATACCTGGTTTTGAACATTCTTTATTAGGTTTTAATCTTACCTAAGCTG